CAATGTGGCTAGGTTGACACTTCAGTCAGTCTCTCCTGCTGGTCTGCTTGGTCATAGCAGATGACTTGTCTGCTTCCAGGTAACAGATGTAGCCACATTGACGGGACTTAAATAACCAAGGATGAAGCTCATGCTGCAGCCTGTCTCCTTATGTCCCAGCTAGGCTATAGTCAGGAGCTTGCACATTTCTGGGCTTTCACACAACCTGTTCCCTTACCTTACATACCATTTTCCTCTTTTCTGCCTGGGAAGTTTTGTGATCCTTTATAATGTTTTTATGTTTTGGGATCCATTCTTCACTTCAGAGATCAATGGCCAGTCCTGATTTTCTATGTCTTTTAAAATGCTTGAATAAAAAGAAGTTAGCTGACAGTTAAATATTTAGGTTGAATCTCTGGTACCTAGGAGAATGCCTTGTATTTGGTAGGTGTCCAGTATATATTGGTTACATTGAGTAACCATTTGTCAGAGAATTAGAATTCACTAAAACACAAACAGCTTACACTATATTGGGAATAATTTTATGTGATATAAAGTCGTTTGCGGCATTTGTGCTTCATACCTATTATAACAAATGTTGTACCGCTGTAGAGGGAAGAAGATTCCATAATTGGGTTAGTTGAATTTCTAGTTATTTTGATTTCATCATTTTCTTCTACGCCTTGACTGCCCTTTTCTAGAGAGTATTCTAGAATAGCTGTACCTACCAGAAAGAGGGGGTGGGGTGGGAGTTCATGCGATGAGGAAGAACTAAATGTAATATGCTGGTGATGAACACAAGTTTGTGTGCTTGTGTTGGACTGCCTGTAGCATGTTCTGTGCAGCAAAGCACCCTAGCGTCAAGTATTATAAGTGTGCATTCATGAGGTTTCTTTATTTTAAGATAACAGGCACAACTGTATTGATGGGGCTAAATAATCACAGGAGCAGGTCATGTGGGAACCCATCTCTTTTCTCAATCCACACTGTGTCATATCCTTTCAGACAAGGTGGAAGTTAAGTGGACAATGAGTTCCACTGAACCATATCTCTGCCCACTCCTGCCTGGCCCCTCCCACATGCACACAGAAGGGTGACAGCATGTTCGTGGTTTAACTGCCACAATTTATGTCTTAACGATGTCAATATTTCCTGGAAAAACATTTTGATACAGGTTGTTTGAGGCATTACTATGACTAATAGTGAAGGTTTCAGTTTTTTGAAATGAGATTTGCCAAAATTAGTTTGGGGCCTGTTACTTTTCATGCCCATCCCTAGCCAAAGCAACAATAATGTAATAAATAATACTGCTTTTATGGCTTCCAAACCACTTTCGTAACATTATCTGGTTTAATCTCAACAACTTTGTGAGGTAGCTGTTATTTCCAACTTTTAGGAGAAGAATCCGAGGCTAATGAATTTTTTTAAGATCACATAGCAAGTAAGTGGCAGAGCTAGAACTTGAGTCCAGGCCTGTTTGATTTTAAATCTGCTTTTTCCACTCTATGACAGATGCCTAAAGAAGAATGTAGAGCCTGGGAGAAGTATTCCACTTTAATGAACTATGATGTGTAATAGACAGTGTCTGTTCTATGTTTACAACTAAAAGAAGTCACAAAAATGACTAAAATGTTGGAAAATAAAACCTAAAACAAAAAATAGAGAAATTATTCATCTGGAGGAGCCAAGGCTGAAGAACAGTTTAATAATAGTCTTTTGGTCTATTAAAGAGTCTTACGTAGGGAGGAGAGCAAGCCCAGCTGTTCCTAATCTACACTGAGGCCAGGCCTGGGGAGAAAAAGAAGAAAGAAAAAAATGTTAAACTGTAACAGAAGGGATAAGAAAGAATTTTTTGATAATAAGTATTGTTAAATATTGTATTGGTTAAAGACTGTTTAGGTCTCCTTTTCTGGCAGTCATTAAAAATTCCTATTTTTACTGAATGTTTTTAAGTGTGATTCCTCCAAAAACAAGAGACTTGAAATATATGATTCTTCTGAGAAACCACTCCCTCTGACCAGTTACTCACTGAATATCACTAAGGAACCTGAGGAAGAGATGCAGTTATGCTGTGCTTATCAAGAGGGTACATTCTGAGAAACACATAGTTTGATGATTTCCTCACTGTGTGAACATCATAGAGTGTACTTACACAAGCCTAGTTGGTATAGCCTAGTTCATACCTCATTATATTTTACTGTGCTTTCTTCTGGTTTGCAGATACTGCTTTTACAAATTAAAGGTTTTGTAGCAAACCTGAGTCAATCAAGTCTTATCTGCACAATTTTTTTCCAACAGCATGTACTCAACTTTGTGTCTCTGTGTAACATTTAGGTAATTCTTGCAATATTTCAGACTTTTTTTTTATTATGATATTCATAATGGTGACCTGTGATCAGTGATCTTTGTTATTACTATTGTCACTGTTCTGGGGCACCAGGAACTGTATCCATATAAGATGGTGAACTTAATAAATATTCTGGGGCACCAAGAACTGTTTCCATATAAGATGGTGAACTTATATTCTGGGGCACATGGTAGAATCCTTCATTAAACACTAAGAACTGGTATCCATATAAGATGGTGAACTTAATAAATATTCTGGGGCACCAAGAACTGTTTCCATATAAGATGATGAACTTATATTCTGGGGCACATGGTAGAATCCTTCATTAAACACTAAGAACTGGTATCCATATAAGATGGTGAACTTAATAAATATTTTGTGTTCTGACTGTTCGACCGACTTGCCTATTCCCTGAGACACAACAGTGTTGAAATTAGGCCAATTAAAATAAGCCTACAAAAGCCTACAATGACCCTTTCACTTGAACAAGTGTTCAAGTGAACAAGTGTTCAAGTGAAAGGAAGGGTTGTACATCTCTCATTTTAAATCAAAATCTAGCAGTGATTAAGCTTAGTGAGGAAGCCATGTCAGAAGCCAACAGAGGCCAAAAGATAGACCTCTTATACCAAACAGCCAAGTTGTGAATGCAAAGGAAAAGTTCTTGAAGGAAATTAAAAGTGCTCCTCCAGGGAACACATGAATTAAAGAAAGTAAACAGCCTTGTTGCTGATGATGTGGAAAAAGTTTTAGTGGTCTAGATAGAAGATCAAACCAGCCACAAAATTCCCTTAAGCTGAAGCCTAATCCAGAGCAAGTTCCTAACTCTCTTCAATTCTTTAAGACAGAGAGGTGAGAAATCTGCAGAAGAAGAGGTGGAAGCTAGGAGAGGTTGGTTCATAAGATTTAAGGAAATAACCATCTTTTATAATATAAACATGCAAGCTGAAGCAGCAAATGCTGACATCAGAGCTGCAGCAAGTTATCCAGAAGCTCTAGCTAAATAATTGATGAAGGTGGCTAGGCTAGACAATATATTTTCAAGGTAGACAAAAGCCTTATATTGGAAGAAAATGCCATGTAAGACTTTGATAGCTAGAGAGGAGAAGCCAATATGTGGCTTAAGAGAGTCAAAGGACAGACTGACTCTCCTGTTGGGGGCTAATGTAGCTGGTGGCTTTTAA